GGACTACTGAGTCTATGCAAAAAAGGTAACAAACAAATGTTTAATAGTTAAAAGTTCATGAATCATGACCAGTCTCCAAGGGGAAGTGACAGCGTTTGCTCTAGGCCAGCAGGAACACGCCCAGTTTGCTGCAGGACTGCTGAGCAGGACAAGTCTGCTCCAATCCAAGGCAGGAGTGCACTCTGGCTCGTTCAAACTGCAACACAGAGCGTGTAACCTGCAGAGGTGCTCTGACCAACTGCAGGAGGCACAGATAGTGCACATCCACGCTAATGTCTGGGAGCAAAGTTAATCCTCCATACATTCTGAAAGCCTGCCTGCTAACCATTTCCATCATGTCCATATGTCACACTCCTGAATGTACAAAGGGGCCTAAAATATACACTGTACACTCTGAGTAGCTCAGAGCCAGAGCCCCAGACAGTGACAAGCCAAGGCTGCAGCATCTTCCAGCACAATCAGCATCTCCTTCTCCTCCACAACAACTCTCTGCCTCAGGTTCTCCCATGGAGAACACTGGCCTCCCAGGGATCAGTCACAGAAAGCAGAGAACAGAATGGGGCTATTCTCCCAGAGGAACAGTGTGCCATAAAGCTGCTCAGCCAGGTGTATCCAGTAGCTCTTGTTGATCCTTTCCACATACCCCCTTTAAGCTCATGGAGTAGATTATCCTAATTTGACATTACTCATCTGGAGGCTCGTGGGTGTTGCACACAGGACAGAAAGCACCAGCATCAAGGACAGGACAGAACCAGTTGCTGGTGGAGGCTCTCAGATTTCACTCCAGGACAATCTAGAACAGCTTAGGTCATACTGATCAGAGGCACCACCGACATAGGTGTTCTTTACTTTTTCCATGTTTCAGTCCAATGGAAAAGGACAAATGTAACCAATACATAAGTATCCATTAGTATGCAAATCACAGTAAAAAAAACACAATCACATAAGGTAGAAATAGAAGCAAGCACAGTCCAATTGCTTTTTTGAAGGACTATACAGGCACTGATGCAAATAAGGCTTAAATATAAAATAAAATTCAAATTCTTAAACGTACTCTTTAAACATCCTGGGTAAGTTTAAACAGGATTGTTCTCACACAACAATTTTTCTTATATTAATGACAATTGTTTAGAAGTTAAGATTTAAATACATACCAGTGTATGGTAAACACTGAGAAATGTTGTAATTTCCCAAATTACAAGCAATACAAGCCCATGAAATTCCACATGTAGATGAATTTAAATAAAACATATATTTCTGGTAAATACAACTACCCAATTACAGCTCTAATGAGCAAACCTAACTCTTATTATGACAATTATTTTGTCCCAACAAACTCACTTCTGAAAACACATCCTGCAATCTCTGTCAGAGCTCTTTTGGTTTTTGTGATCACTGTATCTGAGAAGGTAAAATATGACATTTTTCACTAAGTTAAGGCTGATGTCACCCTTATCTTATAAGCAAACACACTCTCCAAATGTCTATGTGCAGAGAAGGTTCCTGAGCATCAAATAGGGTAGTGACAGCCTTCAATGGATTTCCCAAGCTTCATTCACCAGTGTGCTGCTTCAGGTAGCAAAGGTAGAAGTTCCCTGAGCTGACAGCATCTGTAGCTGCTAGTTTTGCAGGAAGACAGTCTGCCACAAAGTAGCAAGAGTAAGAATGCCATCAGGAGAGGCAGGCAGAGGAAGCAGCAAGGAAGTAGGGCAAGAAGGGAGGGAGTAAGTTTCTCCCTAAGCCAATGGGCATAGTCATCTTCAGGCAGCCAGCAGGGAATTTCACTGTCAACCAATGTCACTGCAAATCCAAAACTCAGTTCCAGGCTCAGGCAGCAGATTCTCCACTGGCTGCACAGATTAGACATCAGGAAAAGCAAAGATTTAAAAAAAAAAAAGGCAATTCTAACAAGGGCTGGATCATCTTCTGCCTAACAGAAGATGAAGCGTCCCTTCAAGAATAAACTGTCTTACAGCATCCAAAGAGCTCAATCCCAGCTGGTTCTCGTCCCAGTCCCTTGCTGTGTCTGGGCCACGGACGCTGTGAGCTGTGCTCAGGGAAGGTGATCCTTCTCATCACTTCCCGGGGTATTACTCGGATATATTCAAATAAAAACACAAGCAAAACGGCAGCCTAAAGGCACTGTGCCTCAACTCGCAGACATGTCTGTGTTAAAACTTGGAAGCTCATTTAAAACAGGAAGAGTTTTAGAGGCTGTTTTAAAGTCGGGATCTGCTCTGAAAATACTTCAACCGCATTCTGCACTTCAGCCGAACGCTTTCGGCGAGGGGCTGCGAACCAACAATTAACTGGGAATTGCTGTGCCTGGCGAACCCCCTCGCCAGGAGCCGATCCCCCGGCCTGTGGCAG